AAGCATTTTTATCTCCAAAGAGCAAGACTGTTGCCACTCGAAAAAATGAATGCGAAAATTAATGTTTTGAGAGTTTTTAATTAATATCTCGGTTGACTAAAGTCGTACGAAGATGGGAACAGTCGAAATGGCTTCTCACGAATTTTTGGAATCGGGAACAATGTTATTTTTATTCCATATTTCGTAAAACTTATACATTTTTTATCAACAATCTCTGCGATTTGAAAGTGAGTAATGGCAACACTTCTCGAAATGAAGCAGATTTTTATTTCCAGAGTTCGAGACAGTTGCCACTTGGAAAAATGAAGGAGAAAATTAACGTTTTTTAAGTTTTTAATTAATATCTCCGCTAATTAAAGTCGTACGAAGATGAGGATGGTCGAAATGGCTTCACATGAATTTTTGGAATCCGGGAGTACCTCTCTCGAAATTCAACTCCCCGCCGTTGTGGAGGAGATAATGTTAGAAACAATCGAATAAATAGACAGACGAGCACAGATTTTTAATAGTATAGATAATTTACTTAAGAATAAGTAAATTTGTTATTTATTTATTCATTTTTGCAAGAATAATCACTATTTTGTAATAATTCGTGATTTTATTAATGTAAGAATATTATTAAAGCTAGATATACTACTTTTGCAACAATAGACTTCCAAAATTTGAAGTAAATTAAATTCATTATGTAAAATCTGTAATCGCCATCATTATTTTTTCGCTTCTTTTAGACGACCTCTTCCAAAGGAGATAAAAACTGCCCAAAAAGTTACAGTCATCTTACAGAAAATTAGTAATATTTCGCTTCGCTTTAAAAAAGAAAAATTAATCACCGTTGCCACTTACTTCCTATTTAATAAAATATATTTAAAAACGAAAGATGCCTATAAATGATAAGGCTCTACTAAATAGAAGAAAAATAATCCAGCTTAATTTTAAATTTTTACAGCGTAAAAAGTAAAATTATGCAAAAAAAAGCAACCTTGTTCTGACACAGGGGATTTGGAGTAAAATTCTACAGACTTCGAAGACGATTAAATTACAGTTTCTGTGCTTCAGAAGCAAGAAAAGTTTACTCCTCAGTTTTTCTGAAGGAAAGGGACCTTTGTTGAATTGCCCTCGAAATAGATAAAGTTTTAGACTAGAAGAGAAAAACGCTAATGTGACAATCAAAATCGTTAAAAACCCTTGTAATTAGCTTGCAAGTATTTAGCGCAAACATTTAATCAATCGATTTCGAGGGCAGCTAAAGGTCCCTCCTCATCAGAAGACAACGAAGTTACTGGAAAAGAGAAAAAGAAGAATAAATATAGCATTGGCAAAGGAGTCTCAGAACACGTGGTCTTTATCAGCACTGCACGTGGTTGTAACTGGATTTTCAATCAGAGTTTTCACTGGCCGCCTACTTTTACTGAGCCAGGCTATCTGATCAAGCATATAAACCATAGACTAAAAAGCAAACAATTCAGCGAAAGTTAAAAAATAGGGAGCGAGACCCTCCGGTGAGGGTATAAAATGCACCTTCACGCAGAAAGTTGCATTTCCCTGAAGTGAAAATGAACTCTTTGAAGGTTCAGATTTGGTGATTTGCGTGTGGGAAGGTGCATTTGCCCCTCGCTCCCTATTTTTAACTTCGCGAATTTTTCTTGTCCTTTATGCTTGATCAGATAGCCTGGCTCAGTAAAAGTAGGCGGCCAGTGCAACTCTGATTAAAAATCCAGTTATAACCACGTGCAGTGCTGATAAAGACCACGTGTTTCTGAGACTCCTTCCCCTTTATTTTCTTCTTTCCAAGTATTTCTTTCTCCTGATGAGGAGGGACCTTTACCTGCCCTCGAAATCGATTGAGTGTTACAATATACTTACGCTAGATAAAGTTTTATTCAAAATCCATGCCAAACTAAAATTGGTTTTCTGCATAATTTTTAAGTAAATTTTAAATACTCCAAATGAATTTTAAACTTATTAGATGGTTTGTGTTTTATTCAAAATAATGTATCATAAAGAGAAATGTTTTAAGCATAATACATAATATATAGCAGTAGAAACTACTTTAATTATACTACTTTAATTACTACTTTAATTATATGATATTAATTATTTTTATGATATTTATTTGAGTTATGATATAAATAATAAAATAAATCCATTGCCATCTAAAGGAATTGAAATTTATTTTAAACTATAAATTGTTCTGAATGGATCATTTTGTTACACTCATAACCAATGTACTTCTATAATTTGGAAGATAAATAAAAAATCACATAACATGGAGATTGCAACATCCTGTTGGTACAAAATTTCCTCTACAGTGTGAAAACAAAAAGTAAATGATTAGTTTTTCCCACTTATATTTTTTTAATTCGCACAATTAATCTGGCAGCACTGATAAGTTACAACCGATGAATAGTATGATTTAGTTAAACATATGTATATATTACTGATAATAATGATGCCAAAATTTAAGATAAGAAATATCAGCATAGAATACGTCTCTAATTCAACATACCCAAAATCTATCGTTTTGATAAATAAAAGTTCTAATGAATTTTCCTTTCATTAGAATGAATTTTGTATTTCTTGTGGGATTCATTCAAAATCTATTTTATATTTGCCTGCAGTATATATCAGGTTATTCTCAAAATTTGTGAACTAATTTCAAATGTAAAATTCATTCAAATTTATTTAAAGTTCACTGCACTTGCATGCATGTCGATTAGTTAACAAAAGCTGATGATGATACAGCGTGTCGGTCAATTAACGACAACGGATGTTTCAAAAGTTTTAACTAAGAAGAAATCATTTCTGGAATTCTTTTGATAATTTGAACAATTTCTATGTTTTTAAATTAATGGTAGTCTCACTACACATATAGCATTCGAGTAAAATAATTTCAGGTTTAAAAACCCAAGTTAATGTTGTAAGATATTTTACTGAATTCCGTAAATTTTCGTGATAAAAATAAATTATAAAATGCAAAAATTAAAAAAATAAATAAAATAAAATAAAATCTGAAAGCTTTGAGATTTTATATTACGCTCAAAGAGGCCTTTTTTTTTTTTTTAATGTTTTATGTGTTACTTTTATTTATTAAATATCATGGTCTTCGCACTTAAACCACATAAAATTCAATTCAGCACCAATATCAAAAAATATTTAAAAACAGTATATATTTAGAATTTCGAAACTCTCGTATTCGAAAAGACGCACAAATTTCGTCTCCTACGCTGGAGACAAAAATGTTTTTTTTCCGTACAGTGTTGCCATTGCTCGCTTTGAAATCATGGAGTCTGTTAATAAAAAATTCTTTAAAGTTTTATAAAATGTGAAATAGATAATAAAACAAATTCTAAATTCGATCGTCCAGGTGTCCACGTTTGGGTGGACTGTTACGTTATTCAAAACTTGATGACTCTAGGTACCATCGTTTTAACACAGTACGAGAAATATACCTAAATCCATGCACATTCTCTTTTATTTAATTTCTTTTAAAATAATGCATGGTGATAATATTTGGTGGCAACAATTTTAAAAGTGATTCAGACTTTTACAGAGATGCAACGCAAAATCCCGTTTCGACAACCTTATTCCCAGTTTTCCCTTCTGAAATAAATGGAATAATTAATAATAATAGGAATAATTAATGAAATTAATTATACCTTGCCCCTGCCAATTTAGAAAGATCTTACCTTCCTCTGTTTTAAAATTAGGATTTCCGTAATGAGACTGCAATTTTCCGCCCAATTTTTTGTAGCTCTGCTAGACTGCTATCGTAATAATTTCATTTCCTAATGCAAACAGCAGTTTCTTAGCTTGTCGAAAAGGTGTTATTATTTCAGTTTCGAAAAAATATTCATAAGATAAATATTGTATTGGAATGCCGAATAGTTCAAGTTTGAAAACTGGCTATTTACCACGCCCCGTGATAGTTAAATTATTGTGTCTCGTACAACGGCAACACTGCCACGTTCGTGTTCATGATAAATGCCTGATAACAATACACAATATCACATAATAGCGGATAAACTTTCGAAATTCGGCTCACAGGCTTTTCAAGAAACTTTACCGTAAATCTCAAGCGAGTTTATGTCAGTCCAAGAGGAAATATTCTTATGGCCAGCTTCTGTTGTTGATAATATTCGAGAAAACGGGAAACATATATTAAGAGGATGGTGGTTTTTTATTTATTTATTATTATTATTATTATTATTATTATTATTTTATTATTTTGTATAACACATCAAGACGTAAAGGATGCCTAGGTACAATCAAAAGATGAAGCAGATGATATGGAAAAGAGTAACAACGACAGTGACATCGATCTGTGATAGCAATTACTAGTGTTGAGTATGCTTGCATAACTTTTAAACGTTCGATGAATGTGTCATGCCTCAAACAGAGGATAAATTATTCCGATATATTCGTAAACGAAGGAGTCATTTAAAGGCAGAAATAAACATTACTTCTACCTTTAACTGCAGAATGTTGCTACCATGGGTTGTCCAAAATGGTTGCGTACCAGTAATAAGTAAGATAAAGCGTATTCTTTTGAATCAGATCCGTTTAAAACCAATTCATCCTACCATTAAATCCATTAAAATTTGATTTCATCATTTTCCTAATCCGATGATTATAGATATTATAACATCTTACATACCACTTACATTTCCTGCAGAACCTTTTAAAAGAAGATGATAAGATAGGCTGCCAACAAAATAGCAAAAAAAGCGTAATTTTTGTTAAATAAAAACACGCGACAAAACGCTGCGTACGATTCTAATCCACAAATATTATCCTATTTCCCTCATTCGACACCGACAGAACTGCGCATAGAATGGGAACCGTTTCCTCGCGCAAGGACGAGAGCTGCGCCTCCGTCCTCTTCCGACAGAGGGCTCTGGAAGATGACGCGTGTCCCTGATATATACAACCGTTTTCTATCAAATATACAAGAAGAGCGCGTCGCGCAAGTTGTGTTGAGATACGAGGCGGTGCGTTATGGATGGACGTATGGCCAGAATGTGTACTCCTAACTGTCCACTGACAATTTCTGCAGATGGATTAACGGATGGCCATCCGACGCGTCCCTCGACTAGCCGCAAAGGGGTAAAATCCATCTATCAAACACGTTGCCAGTTTACTATTACAAATGTTTACGTGAATGGGTTAGTTACGTTACCGTTGAGAAGGTGGAAGAGGCACTCCATCCCTCACACTGTTGAAGATAGATTCCAAGTCGGACAGTTGCTCTCGTCTTCTGGATGTTGCTTCCTGTAAAGCCTGCAAGAGAAAATAATAGTAAGTTCACTAACAGCATTCCTCACAATCAGTCCTTGATCAGCCTCTAGGCATGGGCCCCATTTCAAAGACTTATCCTCATATAAAAGGGTTAATTGTAATTCTGCACCTTGGTACGAAAACGATCAGTGTGGGTTCTTCCACTATTGCTTTCTAAGTAACATCCATTCTCAAGAAGTAATGTGACAAAGTTCATTAAAGCTAAGTAACTGCATGCCTTTAAAAACAATTGTTTTTTAATCAAAAATAAAATATGTATACTTGCTACATATATGAATCAAAAGCTTGTCAAAATTACATTAATTTCTAACAGAAACTTCTAAAATGGACATCATTTTTTTTTTTTTTTTTTTTTTTTTTTTCTTTCTACTAAGGAGCAGAATTACTGTTTTAGAAATGCATGTTATTTAAACAATTAAAAATTTAATTCAGAATCACAAATAAATAAATGATGTTTGATCCCACGGGTTTGAAAGTTTTAATTCAGTCTCACTGCATAAGTTTTGTGAGGTTTATGGAATTCACAACAAGAAAACATAATCTAAGTAAAAATTAACAATCTAAGTACTAAAAAATTGTTTGTGTCGGATGATTCTGACTTTTTTTAATTTATGAATTAAAACATTAATAATTTATTTAAAAGAAAATTTGAACAAACCCGAGTCGTCAGATGCCACTTTCATAGAAAAATAATTGTTGTGTCTGACAGAAAATTAAAGAAATATAAGCCGTCCAATCATATTTAATTATTATGTTGTTTGTTATTATGTTTCAATTTTAATTTAATTAATCAGAAAAAACAAGGTTTCATGTAATGGCAGCTTGCTTTACCATCTTTTCAACAAAGCATTTACTTAAAATTATCAATTAATTAATGCTTTGATTAAATATATTGAAATTAAAGCAAATTATAGCTCTTTTTATCAGAAAATAATAACTGCATGAAGTATGAAAAACAAGAAAAAAATTGTCGTACCTAACAATTAAAATTTTTGAATAATTGATTAAGTTTTAATTAAAAACGAATATGCAGAAAAAATTTCTTTTATAAAATATCAGTATGAATTGCTGTTTTCGTTTTTCTACTAAAGCTACTATATAAAAAACATTTTTGGAGTTAAAATAACATTCTTAACGTAAATAACATTCTTCGATATTCACGAGCGTTTTAAAATTTCCACAAGAAAATGCTAAACAATTTTTTTTTTTTTTTTTTTTTTTTTTTTTTTTTTTAAGATTAGTCACGTTCAATGTAATTTAAGAGTAAATAATTAGATACTCAACAAGAAAACAGACAAAAAATGGTGGCAACATATTTGTAAAAGAAAAATTAAATTATTATAAAATATGGTTTAAAGATCGTAAGAATTCTCTAAAGAGTTTCACGTAGATAATTGTAAATGACAGATATTTTGTAAATAAGAAATATGAGAGAAGTTCTTTCAGTCAGTATTTGCATATTATATATTGTACCAATATCTTCAGTTGCTATAAAACTTTGCAGCCCTTTACATGATCTATAAAATGTTTTCTCATATTTTTAAAACCTCTAACGCTCATTATAAGTAAATAGTTATAGAAATTATACAGTTCTATGGATTATAGTAAAAAAGAAAAAAAACATAGAAACCAAACCGTATTCATTTCTTGCAATTCAGTTGATTCAACATTTTCTTATATTATTAATTAATGTGTTAGGAATTGATTAATCATTATTAACTAATCAATAAATTTACCAAATAATCACTTCTAAGTACAAAATGCATTTGAATAAAGAATGCAGCAAGAAATTTAACTATGTCTACACATTCACTCTCTAAATTTAGTTTCACTTATAATTTTATTATTTGCAGTTAAAATTTTGCTATTTTTAAACGTTTGCTACATCCCTAGTTAATTAGAATAAAAAATATATGATTATTATGAGAAAAATAACTTCCACATAACTTCTCTTTTTGAAATATTCCAATTTTGGAACTCCCAAATCCAGCTGAAACAATTTTTTGAATGGACAAAATTACTTACATTGAATATCAATGTAAATCAATATTGGAGTCATTTACATTGAAGAACTCTAATTTCTAGATTACTATAAGCAATTACTAAAAACTTTTTCTGCATATTTAAATAAATTACATTTTAATTTCTGTGATTTCCGCATCGATGAATTGAGAAGAAACAGAAATGCCCAAAAGGCATTTATTTACAATGAACAATAAATACTGTATTAGCTTTACGCTTAAATAAACTATTTAGAAAAAGCATTCCCACTTTATCACTAATTTAAATAAACAAATTATTAAATAAAATCTGAAAATATTTATTTATTAGCCCAAAGAGGCGTTAGCCGAAAAAGGCTCTTAGTCTCGAAACTTGATTTTGCGTTGAATCACTAAAAGCGCTGTGTCACTTTTCACATTGTTGCCACATTGTTGAAATTTATCGCCCAGTATTATATTTAAAGAAACTAAATAGTGAAAAATTTATATAAAGTGTGTATGTTTCTCACATTATGAAAAACAACAGTACCTAGGGTCATCATCTTTTGAATAACGTAGACCTCCACCCGAACAAGAGCATCTGGAAAGCCGAATTCGGAATTTGTTTTATTGTCTATTTCATATTTTGTAAAGCTTTAACGAATTTTTGATTAAAAAAACTCAACAATTTCAAAGGAAGCAGTGGCACCACTATAGGGAATAAATTATTCTTATGTCCAGCGTGCGAGACTATCTATCGGAAATTCTAAAAATATATTGTTTTTAAATATTTTTAGCCGGAAGTGGCTTTAGCCCAAATGCTCTGCAAACGTGTATGCGTTTCTCAATTGGGGGGAGGGGGAGGGGAAAGCCCGTTTCGGCAAAATATAAAATATAATAAAATCTGAAAGCTTTGAGATTTTTTATTTATTTTCTTTTTTAAATGCAGCAGGGGACAGTGGCACTTAAATGATTAATATGCCTGCTTCGTAATTGTCAATCACAAAACTGGTTGCCTAACCAAACTGAAATAAATTGGGAAATAAGTATAGTTAGAATAATAGAAACAGTCGTGTAATTAGAATGGTTAGAATAGCAAGAACATTTAATTGGTGATAATGCAAGGACTGTTTAAAAATGAAAACTGTTTTGATTGTCGATTGTATAGTCAGCAATTGTTTAACTATAGTTGCAGCGCTTGAACTGTGTAATTAGATATTTAAATGGCGAAAAGAAAGATAATAAATACAAGTATAAAACATATTTTTTATCTACTCATTAACATATCTAGTATATATCTACTTTTTAGCATATATTATGGAACATATCTACTTATTAACATATACTATAGATTACTACTACTTATTAGCATACACTATATATCTACTGAAATAATGTATTCAGAGAATATACTCTCTGAATGCATTATTTTGCAGTAGTTTAATATTATTGCATGCATTTTATTGCATGATTCAGTACTTTATTTCCTCAAGAAAGGTATTTTAAAAAAATGTATACTCAAATGTTATTTATTTTCCAGTTTTTGAAATAATAGTAAAATGGCTAATCGACGTTGCATCTACCTTTAATCAATCATACCAATCAAATGAAATTACTGAAAATATTCAGTGGAGAATCGAACAAATCAAAGTCATTAACAAAGAATTATTAAAAAAAAAAACTTTCAAGAAAATACAGAACCAAATAGCTTGCACATAAATGCATAGGAAATATGCATATAAATATCACAAATAATGAAACAAAAGAAAATTTGAATAGAATAATTTATGAAAAATTAACAGGATTGGAACTTATTTTCCTCGTATAGTCTGTGGCCGATACTAGTCAATTGTAGAATATAAAAACATAATTTTTGAAAACCCTGTAAATGGGATTTTTATATATCTATATATTCCTTTAATTTATAAGAAATATATATATGGTCTGAAATTTAATATTTATTTCGACTCTATGATAATTTTTAAGATTTTGCTGAATTTAAATTAATAATTTATTAACTTTTAAAAATTTCGTTTTAAACACGCATTTAGATCCTTTTTATTGTTCTCTAAATATTATTTGATAAAAAATAAACATGCTTTTTGTATATTAAAATACAATAGAAAATTATTATTATTATTATTATTATTATGAAATTAAATAATATACTTTAGCAACTCGACGAAATAAATTTAATTAATTCCTTATTGATATTATTAATAACAACCATATTAATTAATAACGATGTTAATTAAAAATTAGAATACAGAAATTCATCTGTCTAATAACGTATCAAATATGTTTAAAAATCATAAAAAGCTAATAAAGATAGAAGAATGTAAAGCTCTTAAAAATATATATATAATTTTATTATCGGAAAAGTATTTATAAGAAGAGATTTCATTCTAAAAAAAAGCCTTTAAATAATTGTAGGTAGGTGTAGGTGTATTTAATTACGGCAAAGCACACGAGGGCTATCTGCCTAAGGGGAGGGATGCCTTCGTGGAGGACTTTCTAAGGGAAACTGGCTCGTATATACGTTACACATGGGGAAAACCACGAAAACGCCCATGCAGCCAGCCCGTTCGCGGGATTCGAACCTCGGACCGAACTACCAGTCCTTTAAATAATTGAAATATGCACTTTGTGGAATACTATCCTGTAGAAAAGCTACATAATACATACTTAAAAATAAAAATAAAAACTAATAATTCAGATACTGCCCATTTGAAAATTGAAAAATAAATAATTAAGCTTTATTTTATTAAGGCAAAACACTCGAGGGCTCTCTGCATAAGGGGAGGAATGCTTTCGTGGGGGACTTTAGAAGAGAAAGTGGCGAGTATAGACATTACACATGAGTAAAGCCACGAAAACTTCCATGCAGCCAGCTCGTTCATCGGGATTCGAACCCCGTACCGAACTCCCAGCATTTAATGACTTTACCGCTGGGCTGCTGGTGGGTCAGTTAATAATTAAGATAATGCACATTTGAAAATTGAA